CCTGCCAGATCAGCGGCGGGCAGGGCCGTACCACTCCTCCGAGGGGGGACGCTCCGCGCTCTGGCGCCTGCGCGCCACCTGTCCGCCCGCTCGGCACCGACACCCCCGCGGGCAAGTGCGGCGGAAGCCTCGGGTGCTGCAGACCCGGTGAGGACGAGCTGCCGAAGCGAGACACGGAGGCACCCGTCGGGTCTGCACTCACTCTCCCCTCACCTTCGCTCGCCCGGGAGAGGCGGCATTCCTAGCCGGTGCACCCCACTGCACGTTCCCCGTTCCCGCCCAGGCCCCGCCCCGCCCCGCCCGCCTACCTTTGGAGGAACCACCTAGTTTTGCTCTTACCCTGCGATTGTGATTCAACCAAGTCCCTTTGCCTTTAAACAACTCTAGATTTAGTTCCTTAGGTAGCTCCCTTTGATTCCCCAGCTCACCCACTCTGACTTCACTGGGGCAGGTGACAGAATTCTGAGAGATCGGGAAAGGCTCAGAGTCGCCTGGTGCAAGCATCTTGCCTTTTGGCCCTGCAAACTCCTAATTCACATCTTGGACCTGCCGCCAAATTATTTGAGCTCAATGAATATTGGTTGTTCAAAGAGAAACAATTCCTATTTAGAAGTTGGTTGTAAAAAGCGTCATTACGATATTCTGTGAGAAGTGCCTGCCACTCACTGGGTATACTGGGATTGTAACTTTTAATGATAATAATAATTATTATTATTCGTTTTTTTTAACCCCGTGGCCATTACTATTAGTTTAACTTCAAAAAGAGTTTTAATAATAATGACACTTGGTGGTCACAGCTGCTCTGTACTGAGCTTCAAAAGAATACACCCTGTCTTTTCGCTTTAGCTGGGGTGCAGTCTTTCTGAATGCCTTGGAAAGAAAATCAGTGTAAGAAAGAAAAACAGCTTTAAATCTGCCTTACCCTCCTTTGTTCCGTATTTTTTAGTTATTCAGGCATGATATAGAAAAAAAATATTTTTGCCGGGCAGTGGTGGCGCACACCTTTAATCCCAGCACTCGGGAGGCAGAAGCAGTCAGGTCTCTGCAAGTTTGAGGCCAGCCTGGGCTACAGAGCGAGTTCCAGGATAGGCTCCAAAAGCTATATAGAGAAACCCTGTCTCGAGAAACTTAAAAAAAGAAAGAAAGAGAGAGAGAGAGAGAGAGAGAG